AAAAAAAAATTGAGAAAAACGTTTCTGATACTCTTGACTTTTTAAGAAGTAAATGTTGCGAAAAAAAAGTGGCAAAAAAAAAATGCTTTATTTAAATAGTTATTAAAAAGAGTAAAATAAAAGATGATCTTTTTGTTTTTTGGACTTTTGCCAAGTTTAAACAGTTTTTGGGTGCAGTCTATCGATGACAGACTGCAAAACGGAACAGACTGTTGCTGTTCCACAATTCTAATCGTTGTTCATTGAACAATTTGCATACATACATAAAAACACAGCAACATTGTTCATCGGAAAGAACGGCAAATAAATTCAACAATTAGAATATTTTTTTTTTAGCACTATCAGTTGGTGTCATTGTTGCTGTTTTCTTCTTCTGTTTCTTTTTGTTTTTGAGACTTTGAAGAGGTAAGGAAAAGCAGCAGCAACAGCAGCAGAAACATTGAAAAAAGCGAAAAAAAGGAATTAGAAGATTTTTTTATTGAACACCGGAAATTATTTATTTATTCTTACAGTAATTTTGAAATGCATTGTTTATGTTAATCTAACTAATTGTGACCTCTTCGCCCATTTCCACCGTTCCTTCCTTCGTTCCCCATACTTCTCAACTGTGCAAAGAAACGAAACAGTTTGAAAAAATTTCACTTTTTTTTTGCCTCGAATTCTTTGAATAGAATGGAAAAAAAAACATACATAGGGAGCAGAAAGTGTGTAAAAAGTGTAACCGAATGAACATAAAATGAAATAAGGTTGACTGGTTTCTCATCGACCGATATCCAACCAAAGCAGCGATACTCAGCAACATTAGCATTAACAGCAATGAAATAACAACAACAATTTTGAAGAATATTAATACGCACAAAAAAAGTGCTAAACTTTAATCTGACAAAAAAAGAAAAAAATAGCAGCAATAAAAAATAATTTTTTTTTTTAATAGAAAATTAACTTAAGATGAAAATTGAGTGAAAAAAAGAAGAATTTTTGTCGTTTTTTGTCCTACAAAAAAAAAAGTCGTTTTTTTTTTTGTTGTTGCTGCTTTTAAATGGATTAATTGCTTTTTAAGTAGAAAAAAAAAAGAAAATATAGAAAA